TAGGCTAAAATTATACTTTACTGATTCCAAGGAATTTCAAATAAAGCAGCAGATTGCCATGTTCCTTAACTTTCTGGTGTCATCCAACTTATTACTTTTTGCAGGCTGTTTTTATTACAACAGTTTTATGAAAATTAAAGTTTGAATTTTCGATTATGTTGAAAAGAGTTTCTAATTCTGGAGCTGCCAAAGGATTTACAAAGTGAAATTATGTTTTGATGTCCATTGAACAAAAAGTGGAATGGCTACAAAAAATGGATAAAGGTTCTCAAAATTATACGAAGAGTATAGCATTGGAAAGTCAACTGTGTATGACTTAAAGAAACAGAAAAAGGAAATATTTTAAAAATATTTTTGTGATTCTGACACCCTCGCAATGAATAACAGAAAAATTGTTCATTGTGTTAGAAGTGACGATCATGACAAAGTGTTGATTGAATGTGTCAGACAGCATTGCAGCGAAGACGTGACACAATACTGATGGCTCAAGTCAAAATATTTCATGAAGAAATGAAATTAAAACTCAGTGCATGTATTTGACAGGTTGGCTCTCCAAATTAAAAAATTGCCATGGTATAGTCAATTAAATCTTTCAGGTGAAAAAGTTCCAGCTTATACTGAAGCTGCTGAACTATTTACAGATGAATCCATTGAACTCATTAATAGTGAAAAGTTATCTCCAGAACAAATTTACAACACTGGTGAAACTGGTCTTTTCTAGAAATATGTTATAAGGTATCTCTCTCGCCTTCCTAGCATGTTTTCGTGGTGTTGTGGCCTGCATGCTGGGCACATATTCCAGAGGGCCGTGGTTTGATTCCTGGCAAAGACGTTGCTCATTTTTCATCTTGCCTGCTTCCCAAAAAAACCTAATCTCTCTACAGTGGCGCCTGAACTAAAAGGGTGGTGGATGATGATTCTCCACACCCAGCACCCAGGATTTCGCAATTGGGTCCCATAAAAATCCTAGTCGCCCTTTAAAAGGGTGAGAATCTAAGGTATTTCTCCCGCCTTCCTAGCCTGCCTTCGTGGTGTGCTGGTCTGCAAGCTGGAAGTGTATTCCAGAGGTACGTGATTCGATTCTCATGAAGGCATTGCACATTTTTCAAATCTCCTGCTTCCAAACAATCCTAATGTCTCTACAATGTACTGGGAAACTTAACAACCTGTACAGAAAAGGCTGCAACCAAGTGTCAAAGATTCCAAAGTGAAACTAACAATTTTAGCGTGCCCAAATGCTGCAGGAATGGACAACTGCAAACTTTTTGTAATCAGAAAAAATACACAAGCTCGAGCATTTAAAGGAGTAAAGATATTCCCCCTTATATATCGTGAAAATAAAAGAGCATAGATGACACAGGCACTAATAAATGATTGGTTTGAAAATCATTTCATAGCCTTGTTTGGTTTAACTGATGTTGCAGAAACTGTCCTGATTGTAGGCAACCGTTTGGCTCAGAAAGACAGATAATGCACTTGTATTATTCTTTCCTCCAAAGTGTACGTCCAGCATTCAGCCTATGGATATTGTAATGCTGAAATGCAAATATAAAGTAGCATTTTTAAAATCTATGTTAAATTTCTTGAATAATTGTAAGAATGTTCAAGAATTTTTGAAATATTTTAGCATAAAATCTGCTGTGTGTAGCATCGCAAGATTGTTGGGGGGGGGGATTTTCTTCAGATATTTTAAAAAATGCTTGGTAAAATTTATGGCAAGCTACCATATTTCATGAGGATGATGAATATAATAGCCACAAATTTGAAGGTTTTCAGATATTGCAAACCAAAGGTGAAATTTTCCTATTAATGGATTTTGTAAAGAAATGTGGAGAAGCGATAAAGATGATCTAACAGAAGCTTTTCATTGCGATGACTATGCCCCAATCATACATCAACAGACGGCAAAATCTATAGTATGATTCTAGACTCGGAAAATACCATTACCAATAGTGAAGAAACTGACAGATAGGATATTGAAAAAAAAAAAAAAAATTTCGACCAACGAGTTAGTCAGAATTCTCGACACAGCAATTACAGGGTTTGAACAAAATGTAACTTTGTAACTGAACAAGAAACCGTGTCTGTGTATGGAAGTAAAGAGAAAATATTAGCACAAAAAAAAAAAAAAAAAAAAAAAAAAAGCATCTCAGTTTAAATTGAAAGAAATGTTTAATAAAGTAAACAAATAATTAAGCCTTTTTTAAAAAAAAGATTGCCACCCTTTATATCATAAATGATTCATTATTTCATAAAACAGGATTTCCATATTTTTAATTTTATAATTTCTACATGCCATCTTACTATATTTAATTTGATGATTTAATATGTGGGAAAATCCCAAATTCGGAATTGCTGAAGTCCCAACAAATCTGGATCTCGGACTTTGTACTGTAGTATGATGCACATTAATTCTACAGCAAAGGCAACAGCAGTTTCTGAAAGCATTTTTAATAATTAAAACATTTTAACAGCTAATTTTTTTTTCCATAGCAGAATTCGTAACATAGCATTTTAAAAAAGTTATTTTGAATTGTTCCTAATGGAAACTAGGAGGTTTTGTTCCATTAAAAATTGAACAAAACAGCATTCAGATTTTATACAATCTATTTCATCTTCTTTTGTGAAGCAATTTGATATTACAGTAATTACATAAATTTTATTACAGTAATTTCTTTCAGAAAATACATGCTGTGTAGTCAACTGTTCTGTCGTGCAACAGAGAAGTCTTTGTTGCATAGAATGCAATGTGCATGACTTAAGAGAAATTTTAAGAGCCTTCATGCATGGAAAATCTGAAGACTTACAGTCTAAATTTCTCTTAATAATTTTAGCCTCTTATTCGGAAGCGGCATAACTCACAAATTTAACATACTTTCAGTTTAATCACAGCTCATAACAAATACATAGTATATTTTCTCCAAACAATCTTAAAGAATGGAACTAAACAATCTGCAGCATCCCTCAATGCAGTGTTTGATTGGGAAGATTAACAATTGGAATTTGCACATCTATGATTGGCTACACCTTAAGAAAAAGTGTCAATTTATCATGTCATATATGATGTCTAGATCATTTTGTGAATCACTGGATGAAAAATTATTTGTTTTACATATTTTTTCTTTGCACCCCTTTTTTTTTAAATCTATAGTTTTAAGTTTACAGTTTTTACAGTCTTTTTCATAGGTCACAGTTTTTAACGAATTCCTATTGAAACAATATAGAATGTGTAGCAATCTCTGGCTTTACAACACATGAATTGGTCTACATAATGAAAAATGTCATGCTTCTCATGGACACGTGCATGGGGCTCTTGCTATGATACTTAAATGGTAACCTCAGAAGAAATCAATAAGGAACAAATTGAGTAATCATGCAGGTCAAAAAGAAAACGAAAAAAGCTTTTTTACCCTACCATATCCATGCTTAAAAATAAAAATGACTCATTCTGCACAACTAATTTCCACAAACACCAAACCTATCCTCTGCACTTGCAGTATGACAAGAGACCCAAAAATAACTGGAATGGTACCTGTAGTATGAGGTTGCACAGCTATGGTGCTATGGGAGGACCTCTCCAGAGTCAGTAGGTCAAGTGGCATCAATTGTTAATGAAGTGTGTGATTTTTCAAACAGTTCTGTATGTATCTAGAGTACACTTGTGACACAAAGAAATGGCAGATTCTCATCAACAACGTGCTGCTGTGAAGTTCTGCAGCTGAAACTAATGTGATGATGCAAACAGCTTACAAAAGAAATGCTCTAAGCAAAACACAAGTGTACAAATGTTTTTCCTGGTTTGAAAGAGGGAAAATGGCTACTGTAGATGACATCTGTTCCAATCTTCCTTCAAGGGGGCGAACCATGGACAACATCACCAAAATCCATGAACTCAACAAGGAAGATCAACACAGAACAATCGACCAATTCGAAGACTTATTGGGTTATCTTGGAGCTCCATTCAGTGCATTTTGCATGATGATTTGGGAATGCGATGAGCAGCTGCTAAGTTTGTACCCAGACGTCTCACCAGAGAGCAAAGAAGCCGTCTAATAGAAGCCTGTCATGAAATGAAGGATGCAGTCACAGACAATCCCAAAAGTTAACATTCAAGTCAATGGAAGTCACCAGGCTGACCTCGTGTTTAAAAGCTTGTCAGGCTAAACCGAATTTGAAGACAATGCTGAATTTTTTTTCCCATTTCGACATCAAAGGGATTGTATACTCAATTCATCCCTCAAAACTAGACAGCCAACCAACAATTCTATTTGAAGGTGCTAAAATGACTGCAGAAGTGTGGTGCAACATCCGGCCTTGTGGAATTCTGGCGAGTGCATTATGACAACATTCCAGCACACTCAGCACTCAATTTTCGTTAGTTCTAGGCCTCAACCCAGACGACTACCTTGACCCAAGGGCCCTGTTTGACAGATTCGGCTCCAGTGGACTTCTTCCTGTTCTGTTGGAGAAATGGGAATTGAAAAGGCAAGCCTTTTGCTGATATCGATGAAGCTAAGCACAATGTCATGACAGAGCCAGTAGGTATCAAAAAGGTTTAATTTGCAAAGTGCTTCCATCAATGGAATAAATGCTTGGACAATGCATTGGTATCAATGGAGAGTAATTTGAAGGTAATTAAAGTCGTATTTGAAAAAAAGTTGCATTTAAAAAAATAAGAAAATAAAGTCCATGGGAGGAAATTTCAGAAATCTTTGGGTCTCCGCTCATATATATTCCTTTATAAAAATTTTGCTTTTGCCTTTCTGATCTACATTTATAGTTTAAGCCCTTTTAAATTTCCCCTTTAACAAATTTTAATGATTCAAACATAGTTAAACATAACACTAAATCTACATGATGTTGGTCTAAAAATAAGAAACTTTTGAGTATAAAAAAGATTTTCCAAGAACTTTACAGCTCAGTAATTTACGCACACCCATCCAACAGCTCAAAGAATATTTTTTCTTCTTTTTTTAATTGCAAGAGATTTTATTACTTACATAGGAACATTTTCAAGAAGCTTTAGCCCCCATCCTTTTTTGTCCGTTTTAAATGGCTCTGCTTTAACATACTGTCTCTGTTAAAAGAAAACATTACAATAAAATTAAACTTAAAAAATATAAACATTATATTAACAATAAGTTTTGCATTATAATAGGTAATATTTAAAAAAGGGGGTGAGTAAAAAAGTAATCAACAGTCTACATGCTAATGTATTTACTCACATTATACAATTAGGCAAAAATTAAACTCAGACTTTTCAAAGAAAACATACACTTTGTAAAAGGAAATGAAACACTTTGCAAGGAATAGGAAAAGATACAGTGCGTATGGCCCTCAAATTCACACATTTTTATATAAAAATAGTCAATCTAAGGTTCATTTTTAGATAACTTGAAGTCAAACTAATATGCTTCAATACATTACACAACACAGGGGTAGCCAAACCATGGCTCGCAAGCCACGTGTGGCTCTCACAGGCGAGTGCTGCAACTCTCATGCATACAAAATATATATATGAAATATGGTAAACTAAAATTACTCAATGTCCAAAAGAAAGAAATTTATTTCATTTCCTTTTATAAAGTTATTAGTAAGCTTAAACTGATTAATGTCCAAGCAAAAATTATTTTAGTTTTTGACAGGTTAAAAAAATTAAGGTTATTCAAAAACATAAAAAAAGAAATAAAACTATTATACTGATTCTATTAAATTATTTTATAAGAAAATCTTTAAACGTTAATTTCACTTATGAACGCTTTACAGGAAAGTTCTGCCGAATTTCTGATTCAATAGTAGTAGCCGTAGAAATGAAACTGGGGTGGCACAAACAATAAACAGATTATATTAGAATAAAATTAATATCACACAGAATGATACAAGTTTAAAAAAATTTAGAAGACTTATTTAATAACTTCAGACGAATGGTAATATATTTAACAGAGAAAACCTTTTTAATTAACAACGAACTTATTTATTTAGCATTCTAAACATTACAAAAAGAATAACATTCCATGCATTATCATGCTCAAAGCAATATATAAAAAACATCACTGTTGCCACAAAAAATCTACACTATAACGAACATATTAATTTATTGTCTATTAACTGAGTTCGTGCATGTTCCTTAACATTTAACTTATTTACTTTATTACTTAGAGAAAACCGATGCATATTCTGAGAATTTTGAATATTCCGAGACAATTGCATGGGAAAAACGCTTACTATGAAAAAATTAAAAAGAAGACATTTTTAATTAATTGCATAGCTAATTTTGCTCTTGCTAAGAGCTGTTTCGTAAATTATGCTTTATAGCAATATGCCTTATTTATCAGATTCATAATATTGTATAAGTTGCCAAAATGAAACTCTATAATATGACAGGGAAAAATGGAATATTTTAATGTTATTTTTTATATATAATTTCAATATATTACCATTATTTTAATGAAATTTATCAATGTTATGATGTTTTAAAAAAAACTGGGTCGAAAAATTGTCAGATCTCAGAATTAAAAATTTTCTATAGAAACTGATCCTAAAATCGCCAAAATGTTGACAAGTCACCAAATTTAGAGCTGTTTAATAAAAGAATTCACATTCAAAAAGCGAAAAGTTGTTTAAGAGTTCTTTATTAGAAAAAAGGAATTTCAAAATGCTTATGTTTCACTTCTTGCTTAGAAACTTGAGTATCCCATCATTTTTATTAGAAATAGAAACAAATTATAACCCATGAACCCATTCAAAAGATAACCATATATGTCAGTGAATCGCCAAAAATATTCCTCCAAAATGCTAATTCACACTCAAAATGGCAGTCATAAAAACAGACAGAAATTTCAGATGATTAAATTAAGGACCTTCTACTGGTTTTGGCCAAAATTAAGGACTTTTAAGGACCAAAAATCAATTCCAAAAAATTTAAGGACTTTTAAGGACTCTTAAGGACCGTACGAACCCTGTAACATTGGTTTAGCACCCTCCAGATGCTGCACCCAGAGACAGGTGTTTCCCTTGCCACCCTCTAGCTATGCCCCATGCAGATCTAAAGGCATTATGCAGATCAGCCTTTTTTTAAATGATACTGGAGCAGTTTATTCTTTTATTTAAGGATTTAATATCTGCTGGATCACAATCTAGAATATTTAGGTTATGGATATCAAATGGAAGTAAATTTGGTGAGAGTATAACCAATTCATCACTCTCAAAGATATAAGCAAGAGAACATAAATTTATGACAGCTTTAGCATCGCATAAAACAGTCATCAGAAGAAAGAATGTCTTTTTCAATACTTTTCATCACATTTGCTTTACAATGCCAACTAACCTCTCCATTTGCTCCACCAGGCAGCATAAGGAGCATTAAAATGACATTCTATTTCCTGCAGGATGCTATGATTAAGAATTTAATTCCAATCAATGGCATTTAGGGCATTAGAAGCACCAAGTTCAGACCGTTATCACCAAAATATAATACTGGGTCTTCTTCTTCCAGAAATGAATCTTTTGAGAACTTGAAAAAATTACTCTGTGGATGTAGCTGTCACCAACTCTAAATGGACTGCTCGGTTGACAACACGAAAAACATAGCCATGCTTTAATTTCCATTTCAGAAACAATGGACCAGATAACTACGACTCCAAACACAGTTGAATCACGTATTCTGTTTTCTGGAAGTGGAGCTATAGGTGAATTCAAATGATTTCCTTTGAGTCTTTTACAGATCATATATTTTGAGATCACTCATTGATAGTTTTTCGGTCACTAATTATCCAATACCATTCTCTTAAGATATTTAACTAAATTTGTGTATCAGCATGAACATTTCTTTTAGGTTCCATCACTGAGTCTCTAAATGACAGAATGGTGCAAAGGCAAATGGACAGAGTTTAAAATCTTGAGTGTCTGTGTCATTTACCAATTTTTTACTAATGCGGAGGATTCCTTAATCATCTCTGTAAACATTCAATGATTTTTAATTTTCTATGTGCATCACATAAGGTTTTATCTTGTACAAGCTTAATTATTTTCTTCTCAGCTTTACAGTATTCATCATAATACAATTCTCCAGTTTTTCTATTAGTACTCCTGGTTTTACAATAAAAAAAATCTTTTCATCGAAGTAACCATTCGATCTAAGTGGAGAAGTACCTGTAGTATCCCTTCCTTCCATGACATTCACAACAGTTATTGTCTTCTACGGAAGAACTACACCATATACATACAGAGGTCTGATTAGAAAAACATGGTTGAAGCAATTTTGGTTCTCCCTTTTTCACAATACAATGAATTTTTCGGACTTTCATATCATAAGTCAAATTGCTTGAAGGCGAATTAGTTGGATTACCTTCCAGCCACAAAGGACCCTCCCATCATTTAGATGTCACTAGCTGTTGGAAAGCTTAGCCTCTAAATGAGAGTTCAGCCAGATAAATTTCACCAGGCACATATTGCCAATATTCAAGAGATGTTAGATTTCTGATTTCTTTTGCATGAATGCTTGCACAAATACTTACCATACTTCTTCATTTTGCATCCAAGCTAAGACTGCTGTCGAATCAGTACAGAAATTAAGGCTCAAGTCACTACGATAAGAATAATTGAGTCTTTAAATTGCAGAAACACACAAATCTTGTTCCAATAAGTACTGCAATCAACTCTAAATATGGTATGGCCTTTGTTGGAGTTACTAGAGACCTTGCTTCTAAAAGACTATCTTCTACCATATCCTCTTTTCCACTTACAGCAGCCACATATGTAAATACAGCAGCAGCATATGCATGTTGGCTAGCACCACAAAAAATGTGAATGCTAACGTGTTTTTCTTTGGAAGAAATATTGAACCAACATGATATGCTGACCTTTTCCAACAGAGGCAAGTCTTTAAACTATGAAACTCATTTTCAGAGTCAGCATCAAATTTTGAATCTTAAGAAATTCTCTGTTTGCATGTTTCTGCTTTGGGACTAACAAAGCAGGACACGCAAATCCTACAAGATCAAATATTTTATGTGGTATCAACAAAATTTATCTTTTAGTAATGTCACTGAGCTAGTAATGCTTTAACCAATCTAATTTTCGGAACAGTCTCTCATCTTTGATTCCAATATATTCCCAATACTGTTGATGTCAGGGGATCCTTTTCCCTTGCATACTGCCATGCTCTTAAATAAAATTTTCCTTCTGTCATAATAGTTTTCCCGTTTTCTATGAATTTTAAAAGTTCCTTTTCATTGTAAACACTTATTACTACATTATCAATGAATAAACTGTTTCTCAGTTTGTTTATCAGTGATGCATCATAGTTTGGATTTTGCAAATATTTTCTCAGATAAAAATCTGTGACTGGTCCAAAAAAGTATCGACTGGTGATTACAACAAAAACCACTTTAGTATGATGGAATATTATTAAAATACCATATTTAGACCACCATAGGAAACAAAAGAAATTTCAATCAACCTTCCAGATACTAATCTGTCCCAAAACTTTCTCAATGTCAGCAGGAATTCCATATTTTCTTTTTCTAAATCTCAGGAGAAAATTCGGGATAAGCTCAAAAAGCTTTGCACCACAATCCACTCATTGATTTAAAGAAGACATTGACTTCTCTACCTTGCAAAAGAATTGAAGACAGGCCTAACTTTTTTTTTTTTTTTTTGTTCCATATTGTTTCATCACCCATCTATGAGGTAGGTAACAACCTATGACTTCTTCTAGTGGTACACGGCCTATTCTAATATTTTGTCATATTTCACATACAAGTTTCAGAGCAGCCTTTTCCCCCCCATTTTTTTTCTAATCTTCTTAATGCTAAATCTTTATGCCAAAGTAATGGAAGATACTCTCAGGGCAATGCAACTTCATAGCATTCTCATTCGCAGTTACCAATTTCAAAAAATTCATTTTCTTATTAAATCTTCTAACTTTGATTTCTTCTGTGTGGAATCGGTAATCCCAGTCACATCTCAGTTCCATAAATCTGAAATGGAAGTGATCAATAGTGATGTCACTTGCGCAGCTAAATCTTTATTACTCGAAGATGATAATTTGCCCATTAATGCCCAACTGAAATATGTTTCTGTTGGAAGGCAGCTGCTAGAAAGTTTAACTTGTTTACCAGCAAAAATATTTGCAGCAATTTTGTGTCCTAACAATATTTCAGTTGGTCCTGGTTGACAATCGGTATCAATAATCTCAATATTTAGACCATACATCTTTTTTTTCATCTATGAACCTTGTTTTATGAAACTAACATTACTACAGATTACTGGCCGATCTAAAACTTCAAAATTTTCAGCATTAACTTCCATTTAGATTTCCTATTTCAACTCTATATTGTGAGTGTTTTCTTTCATTTGTTTTGTGCCCACCAGACAAACATTGCACTATTGTTTTTTGACCCTAAGAAATACAACCTACTCTTAAAGTAATCGGTTTCAGAATATATGATCACCTGTATCTATGAGGGCTCTAACAGGCATACATTTAACTGACACTCCAGCATTTGATTTCCTAATGTATTTTTGCTATTTAAGTTTGCAAAAGTACATTAGGATGCTTAATATGACGTGTCATGGAAGATGGACTTTTTCCCTTATATATCTTTTTAAAACAGTTTATCCATGTTATCTCTCTTACAGTGTTGGACACTTTAATGGAGCATGGTGTTTACCTATAGACTATGCATTTAAGCTTTGCTTCTCATCTTTTCGAATTATGCCCAATTTTTAAACAAGAAAAACAAGTCCCTTTCATTTTAAAAATCTTTTGTGTCTCATCAATGGCATCTGGCATCTTCTGAGCACGAAAACAATCACCACTGTTATGCATTTCGGAATAGCAAACACAAGGGAATTTTTTCTCACTTTGCACCAACAATTCTGAAGCAGTTATCAACTTTTTATTTCAAAGTTTCACATCTTTTTTTGCTAATCTGAACCCATACATTGCCAGCTACTGATTTTGTTTCTAAGCCAAAAACACCACACATCTGTCCTATCCAAGATATTAAGCCTAGATCCTAAAAGCCTTATCTTACAGACTGTTCCTGTAGTTCAATTTCCTTTGATTTTGCCAATACATGATGTTCTATCTGCCAAAGGTTTTTAATTTGAGTCAAATAAATCTGAAAGAATGAATATTTTATTCCATATTCATAGAATATTTTTGCTTTTGAAAATAAAATTTGTGCTATATTCTGTCAAAATGAAGAAAAATGATAATAGCTTAATTTAAAATAATAATAATGTTGAAAAGGTATTTGTGTGTCAAATTTGGCAAGTATGTGATTACAAAGAACTCATAAAAAGTATGAAATATGGGACTCTATAATTAATTCCACACAGAAAGAATACAGCATTTAGAAGAAACTTAAATTATTTTGAAAGATGACTTTGCTCACATGATGATCACACACCAAAAAAGCTGCATAGACTGCAACAAATATTAAAGTATCAAGCAAATTATACACTATAACATATTTTAACAAAGACTGTTTTGTTTCTTACTTTTTGAAACCGTTTATTTGAACAAGCATCACCAGTAGCACAACGTGAACCACTGAAAATAAAATTTTAAAAAAATCATGTATTACATATTTCCTCAGTTTATGAAGTAATCTTACAGTTTGTTCACTTTTCAAATATAAAGATTGTTTGTTAAGAACAAAATTATTACAGCAGTCATACCGAATTAATTCCTTATTGAAGTCATCTTTAAAGGACTATGAAAATTTTGCCTTGCTTTAAAATAGTATTTGCTTATTGCATTTATGAATTCACCAACAGATGATGAAAATTTTCTACAACCTTTTATTAAAACAGTCAAAAGTCTTTAATCCGGACCTCAAAGCTACAAACTTTCTGCGCATGAGTTTACGTATGCACTGTTAATGTATAATGGACGGTATAAGCTAGGCTAAAATTATCTAATTATCTTTTTCAGTTAATGCTGCAGATTGCGTTGTTCCTTAGTCTTCTAATTGGATCTGGCTTATTATTTTTTGTAGACTGTTAGAGCAATTTCATAAAAAGTAAGCTTGAACTTTCGATTATGTCAAAAAGAGTTTCCGATTCTGGAGCTGCCAAAGGATCTAGAGAAAGCATGTTTCGATGTCCATCAAACTAAAAGTGGAATTGCTGAAAAAAATGGATAAAGGCATATCCTTTGTTTCTCTAACCATTCCGAAATCTGTTTATCAATTTCACGCTCCTCTGTGGGGGGCGGCATAGCAGCAGGCAATGAACTGGAAGTTGATCTGTCAGCACTATTCTGTGCCATCTGTCTTCAGGGCAGATGTTTTTATTTTATTCGGCTTATAATTCCTTACTAAATGTAGTATTTCATCTTGATGTACGCCATCTTTGATATGATTTAAATTAAATTCCTCGTCATTATAAATATCACGAATACACATCAAATAGTTTTCTGGTTGCAATTTTCTAATTTCAACTATGCATAAAGTATGCTTTACGCATGCGTGCGTTGAAAGAAATGTTTAATAAAGTAATAAAGTAAACAAATAAATATTAAGCCTTTTTTTGTATTTTGATACCCTTCAGATCATAATTGCTCTTTATTTCATAAATTACGGTTTCATATTTTTAATTTTATAATTTCTGCATGCCATCTTACCAGATTTAAATTGATGATCTATTAATGTGAAAAAACCGACGAGTCCGGATTAAAGACTTTTGACTGTAATTTGATATATCAGTGTTTATTTATATGAAGCGCTGAGTTAAATTTAACTAGGCTTAGATTATAAACCAACTAAATATATCTAGCAAGCGAGGCTTGCTTACATGCTTTCTGCAAAGTCTTCGAGAACATTCCAAATCTCTCCCGCAGGGTCTACATACCTCGACATCTCTATATTAACGTTCAACCTACGTTGAGAACACAGGATATAGTAGAATGTGTATGCATCAATCGTAGAATATAGTTCTACCACTTAGAGATGTCATATTGTAAAACATTATGCTATGAAATAAAAATATTGTGGATCCAATAGAACGCTATCAAAAATAGATAGATCAATTTGCATCCAGCTTTTTATTTAAAAATTTGCTAATATCATGTCAATCTTTCGATGACCAATAGGAAAATATCTCCTTGTTTGGCCATTACTGGCAAATCCGCTAATTCCAGCAACCCCGACCTCATTTTACTATCGATGAGAAAAGCAATTAAAGCAGTCACTCATTCACTGAGCAGAAGAAAGCAATTGTCATGGTATCTGCTTCACCTTTGACATATGTGTATAATTTCAAAACTTTATAAGTCTGGAAAACCACAATGCAGTTCTGCTAAGATTATCGTTATAAATGCTTCTGTCAAAATACGGAAGCACTTTCCCAATAAATCTGATAACAAAGTTGTTTTTGCAGCTGATTTGACTGGTGAAGCATAAATGGCATGAAATTCAACCTGAACGAAAATGGTAGATTTTCAACTCTTGGAATTGACCTCTGAAAAAAGTCCGTACTCGCAAACCCAAATCAAACAACATGAGCTAACTTTAGCAAAAATATGAAGAAAATGTCCCTCTTTCCTTTTACGAAATAACCTGTGAAAATATCATTCTAGCCTTGCACATGTTCTCAGGTTAGATTGTCGTCATGAGATACAACGCGACTGAGAAAGCATGACGTTGCCTGCTCGCATTCAGAAGAATATTCTGTGCTCACAACTTTACTTTTCTGAAGGGTCGTGCAAAAACAAACCATTATGAAGCTTTACAATATTTTGCAGCTTCCCGGTGTACATTTTGGGAACCACTGATCTAATGCATACAAGAAGATTTATAATAAAATTTATTTATTAATAAAGTAAAGAAAAAAAAGTATTTCACAGTTTTCTTACAAAACAATGCTACTTTCTAAATATCTTCACATTGTTGAGAAGTATTCATAAGACAATGTTATGTCACCAAAGTAGGCAACCCACAGCAACACCCAAATGCATTTATTTATGTGGCAACCTAGTCACCTATATAGATTTTTTTTTTTTTTTTTTGTAAATTTTGATACCCTTTAGATCATAATTGCTCTTTATTTCATAAATTCCGGTTTCATATTTTTCATTTCATAATTTCTGCATGCCATCTTACCAGTTTAAATTTAAATTAAAATACCAATTTAAATAATTGATGATCTATAATCCGGAATTGCCAAAGTCCCGATTAAAGACTTTTGACTGTAATATGATATATCACTGTTTATTTATATGAAGTGCTGAGTTAAATATATATATATATGCAGCAGATGAGTGACTACTTCCACCTTCTAATTCAACAGTCATTAGTGTTTGTTTTTGTTGCACTGAATACATTTTTTCCCCTCATAAGGCATCTTAATAGGACTGCGCAGTTTGCCACTAATGGTCAAAAGCACTGCATTCTTTCATATATATGGAGTTTTGACTAACATTAGGAAATGGAAATAATTTGCGTTCCATGAAGTTGTACCATGTCAACAATCAAATTTTCAAGATCAAAATTGGTGCAATTCTCTGTTTTGTTAAGCAAAAACAGATCACTGTGTACATGGGAAAATAACAATGAGCGTAATGCTAAATTTGTGCAATTCTCTGCTCTTTTCAAACTGAGATAACCAAAAAAAAAAAAAAAAAAGATTAAGTGATTTATTACATACATTTCTTGCACTTTTTACACTGTTAATTGGTCACTGTTTCATGTCATTTTTAGTATAGTGCCATTTTTGAAAATGGCAATCTTTTGCATCTTAGTGGGACAAAAAAGTATTCGCCAATGGTCGCGACTTTTCTAAAAGGGGCTGTAAATAATCAGAAAGCACCAAATAATTATTATAACATTTCTTGTTGCCAACTAATAAACCATTATCTTGTTGAAGAACTCATCAGAACTCAAAATTCAATTTTGAAAGTTATACTGTTTCAGCATTGCTTTTCAACATAATATGACATAAATAAAAAAATATTATAGAAGTATATTACATTTGAATATTTTTCAAAGAAAACAAAATATGTACAGAAGCTTGCAATATATTGCAAACTTTCACCATAACAATTCAATTTTAATTTTTGATGAAGACAAATATATATACAACAAGCTAGACATTATGTTATTAAGCTATTATAAGTTCTAAGAAACCTATTTTATTTATAACACTCATGATAAAGAATAGTATTTTTCAGGAAAATGCTGCTAGGAATTCCAGATAAAATGAATTTTAAATGGTTAATTTGCATTGAAAGAGATGTATTTGTAAAACATCTGAAATAAATTAAGATTGTATGCATGATTGAATAATAACATTTTAGTTTTAGATAAGACATAATTTCACTGCAAACTGAAAACAATCGCATACGTTAATAGAGGTGAAAAAAGGTACTCTAATTATTAAAAATTATTGGGTAAAAAATTCAGAAGTTACAATTTTTTAAAAATCTCTCTTTATTCCAGATGAAAAACTTAAAAATTAAAGAAAAGCAACACAAAATCATCTTTTAACATCTTAAATTAGAAGAGCAAATGGTGATTTAAAATGATGAACCCACCCCATTATCATATTTCATACCAAATACATTTAGTGATTAAAACATTGCATATAGCTTGCAGAAATCTTGTAACAGTTACAAAATATTTTCTAACTTTAATATCTTCAACCTGCAGTGGTCAGATTTAGCATTTCTGCATATACATAGGCTAATTTAATATGGAACAGGCAGTGCAAATCACATTTTTTACTTCCTACATCCTAAGTACAGATAAGCTCAACTATGCAGAAAGTTCAAGGAATACAGAATGTTGGATACATGAAAATTCCAAATGGTTATGTATATAAAAAATGTAATTCGCAGTAGAATAATCCATACTTGCAGCTAGATACTGAGCATCCCTTTTTTTTTACTGTGTTTCTCTGTTGAGATCTGGCAAAATAGCATCATTTCCACAAGTTCAGTGTAGCAGGATAGAAGGAAAACTACTATTCTCAGAACACCAGTTAAAATGGATGGAATGGATAGATTCATCAAAATATCCGAAACCAATACAGAGTTTTTTTGAACAAATCTAATGCAACTAGAAGTTGTCTTTTTCATAAAAACATCGTGAACTTATTAAAATGCCTATTGAGCAATAAGGTTGTGTCAGGAAAGCTCATTTCAACATTACTAATTTTATGTTATCTGACATGACAATAGAGAAATCAATTGAAAGGAAGAAATTTTCGGTCTGAAATTAAAAAAAGAGCCATCTTATTTGTTATCAGATTGAATATCAAAAGCTGCTAACTTGACACGTTATGCAAATTTTTTTTTTAATGCATTTCAGACATATAGGCCAACATATTTCCATTGGCATTAAATACAAGATAAAACAAATTATATAAACCCTGTTCAAACATGAAAGGTGGCAGATATCCAAACAAAGTTACACTGATCATTCAAGCAGAAGTGTGCAAGAACTGATTGCCCTTAAATCACTCATTGCTCTTAAATCACTTCAATGTTTAAGAAATACAAGTTAATTAAATCTGTATTTACAATGTTTAGCTGTTTTTAATTAAAGTTATATC